AAACGGCTTCATGATACAATCCCAATCGAACAAACCCCGACACCATTGTATTCCAAGAAGCCTCGTTTCTCTCAGGCATTTCCTCGAACAGATAACGAGCGCACCTGATGTAACCGAACCTGGCATACATATTAATCAGCGTGTTAGTATAGAACACACTTGCAGGAAGCAAACCTTTGATAAAAAGCGCGTGTAAGGTTTTGCCAGTGGATTCTGTGGTGACCTGAGAGAAACCCTTTTGAGGAAAGCAGGAGATTTGGGGATCCGGGTGGTTTGAGAGGGGAAAAGAGCCATGGTTCCGGGGTTCTTGCTCTGGGCATTGGAATGCGCATAGTGAGTGAAGCTTGACGAGGGATTGGCAAGGAAAGATTGAAAGACAAGTGACGGGAAGTAAGGGTTTGAGCTTAAGAGACGAAAGTTTTGTATAACAGCTAGCCAGCTCTGAGTGTCAACGTGTTGGTAAAGGGAGTCTCTGTCTGGAGCAGAGGGAAGGAGACAAACAAGCCTTTCAAATGTAGAAGAAAGAGTTGGTTAAAAATTTAATTTCATTTTAGATTAATAAAATTTCGTATAAAATTAATATTCCAATTTTAAATTAATTTTAAGTTAAATTCAGATTAGTCCTTGTTGTAAGTTATTTTGTAATAATTGAAAATACAAATTTATTGTTACAAAATTAAAAAAAAAAACATTAAACAATTTTATTTTACATTTGATATATAAAGTCGGATTAATAAATTTTATATGTTGAATTATTAAGATAACAAAATTATATACGAATATAATATATTTGAAATACTCAGATGGGTTTTTTTTTTTAATCCTTAAGAACATATTTTAGAATTTTATCACAATATAACATGGGAAAATTTCAAATTATTCTTAGAGAAAACCTTTTAAATGATAAATTTTCCTTAAAAAAAAAAAAAAGAAGCATATACTTAAATATTACAAGGCTGCTACTGAATTACAAAGCAAAACAGTATCATATAAACAAACTGCATCAAACATCTAAAAGTAATCCAAGCAGGGATGCTACTGCTATTTTTTTCAGCTACTGTTTGATTTTCCAGTTATGGGCTGTTCGAGGTCCGGTTGTGATCCCATCATAGTATCTGGAATCAAGTTTCCCATTGTTCCATACCTTGACAAAATCTGAGAACAATTCCCGTGCAGATTCGGAGGAAAGATCTGAGAAAAATAAACTCTTCTCGTCTTTCAGCCATGTCGCAAACTCATTATTCTTAGAGAAGTAGTCATCAGTGGATAGCTCTGCAAACTCGTGTTTCTGATCAAATAAATGTATAACAAAAGATTGAGATTAGCGGAATAGAACTTGACCCAGCAGATAAGCAGTAATTGCATGACTCGCTATAATCTACTAAACAGAATATAAATGTAGAAAACTTTTCCCTAACCCATCAAGAGTCCACCAGTGTATAGTTATAGCAAGGGATAAGACAGTGAACTGTCAACTGATGAATGGCAAAGTATTATGTATCAGATTTTTTTCACGCTCACACATGAGTGGGAGCATTAGATCCTAATAAAATTTTTTAAGAAATAAGAGTAACAAAAATGTAGAAGAAATAAATAAAATCAAGTGTTCTGCCTCGAACATAGCCATTATAATCGAACATGCATAAGCTTTCCATTTCCCTTTCGCAACAGAATATAAAACTCAATTGTGTTTAAATATACACTTCACAGAGATAATGTTCCCACACAAAGTTCAGCATTTTTCTTTTCTGTTTGCAGCTTTTACATCATTCAGCTGTCACTGTTTCTGATAGACATATAGAGTCTGATAAATAAACAGTGATTAATTCTTCAGCCTTTGAAACCATCAGG